GTCCATATTCAAATACCCATCCACAGCTCCTCTCCATCACCCCAAACCCCACTTTCTTTTCTCCCTGCGTGTGCGTCACATTTCTCCAAACATTGCAGCCTGTAGTCAGGATGTGCGGCTTCGTTCATAAGTCTGCACCCCTCTCTCTCTCTGTCTCTCTCTCACACACACAGACACACACGAACACACACACACACATACACACATAGGCAAATTTTAGTTTGCACTCAGTCACGTTTTGTTTCTGATGCAGCTCAGTTTTCGGCCTCTGAAACCAACTGTAATTCCTGGTTATTATTAGATTCACCTCCCTGTAGAACTGTGAAAACATTAAGATTTCCAGGAAAAAAAACATGCAGGTTTAGTGTTTATTATTATTATTATTATTAATATAATCACTAGACCTTTTTTTAAAAAAAAAAAAAAGACTGTAATAAATGTGGTCCTTAGTAAATGTGTGAAAATACACTTGGATCAGGTTTAAGCGAGTAAACTCTTTATTTGATTTTTTTTTTAAATCCGGGACTGTTTTATTTAACATTTAAATTGTTGAAGGTTTGCAGATTATTTGTCTCGTTCCTAGAGTTTGGTAGGATGGTTTTTAATTAAGAAAACATGTTTTTACCCACCTACCCCCCTTTGGAAAGTGATATTGTTGTAAATCCAGTTTTTGACGTGGATGCAGTCGGTCCTCTCTGCTCCTCTCACTGTTTATTTCACTGCTTTGAAATTAGACACAGGCGAGCGACTTCCACTTCTCTTTAGATTATATTTTATTTGGGTCTTTAATCCGGTTTTAATCGAACAATTTTGAGTTCAAAGGTTACATGTTCTCACTTCAGCTTTCATTAGATTTTTTTTACTGGTTTTAATTGTGAGATTGATTTCTCACCACATTTTTTACCCCTCAGTCTGTCCACTGCCTTGTATTTATCAGAGGGTTAATCAGAGGGTGGGTGTTTGGGAAGGAGGAGGAGGATATTTGGGGGGCACTGGAGGTTTCGAACACAGATTTTTCTCCCCCCTCAGTTTTATTCTCCAGCTGCATCGTCGTCGCGTTCAAGAGGGGCGTCTCTGATCAGGTGTATTCCAAATTCTCCTGGTCCCTCTCACACGTGACACAGGAAATCTGCCTTACCCCCCCACCTCCCACCACCATGTCCCATCCCTGTTATCAGACAAAATCTGTACCAATCACCTAGACAGTGAAAATTAAAATCTATTTTTTGATTCTCAGTGGTCTTAAGTTCATTAAAATGTGAAATTGGTGGATGAGTAAAGAAGGTCAGACTCTTCACCTTGGACTGGATGATTTCCTAAAAAAAAAACAGCAAATGATATCCTCATGCCCCCCCACCACACACACACACACCTCTTGTGATTCAGCCAACTGAGCTCCACAAAAAGGGCCTGCTTAAGAAAACTAAAAATGTCAGCAATACTTATTTTTACCCTGAAACGGGGGGTAGACTCTCTGAACGGTTCTAGTGATTCCCTGCAGTGAAGCGCCGAGGGGACGAGTCCCCAGTCCCCCCCCACTGTCCTCCGCTGTGTCGTGTGTCGGGCATGTCTGTTACAGTTTCCCCCCTCCGTGCTGATTAGAGGCTCCGGCTCTGTTCGAATGCTCCAAACTTCTCCACATATTTAAGGTTTTTCGTTCCATCATTTCTCGGTCCTCCTCTCTGTCATTGGACGTGGAATGATGATGTTTAGGTGGTGAGATTGGAGCTTTTCAGGATGTTATTTCTTCCCTCTGATGTGTGATCCAGATCTTTTTACATTGTAATTGTTGTCCTGCATTACATGCATTTGCATCATTACAAGGCAGATGCCCCCCCCCCCCCCCCACAGCACCAGAGGTCTTTGTCTCTGTGGCTCTGATCTGGTGTGTCAGCAGCAGAAATAAACCTGCTCCCTCTCATCACTTCAACAAACACTCGGATCAATCAGCTGGAATTACAGGAGGCACAAAGTTACAACACAAACATGTAGAGTTGGTTTTCTGATGGCATCAGAATCTCCTTCTAATTTCATCTTTTCTTTCTTCTCCCAACCCCCTCTGCCCCCCCCCGGCTGCAGCAGCGGAGCGCCTCTCCACGGCCGTCGTCTCGTCGGAGGAGCTGTCGGAACGCTGCTCGGAACACTCGGAGGAGAGCGGCAGCCCCAACGGGCACCACCCCGGGCCGGCCGGGGTCCGGCTGGCCCGGCTGGGTCACGACGCCCACCACCACCACCACCACCACCACCACCACCACGCCGCCGAGCAGGACCTGCTGACCTGCGGCCAGTGCCAGGCCACCTTCCCCCTGGCGGACATCTTGCTCTTTATCGAGCACAAGCGGAAGCGATGCCACGGACCGCCCTGTTTCGCCGGAGGCAGGGGGCTGGACAAGCCCCCCTCTCCCTCGCCCGGCTTGGCCCTCACCCCGTCGCCCGCCCTGAGCGCCCTGCGGGGCCGGCGGCCCGTGGAGGTGGGCGTCCAGGCCACTCTGGCGGACGAAGACGACGAGCGGTTCTCGTCGCCCCGAGGGATCTGCCCCAAACAGGAGCCCCTCCCAGGTAAACACGACATCACCTCCGTCCTCACAGCTGCTGTGAAACTCAACCAGTCACTGTCACTCAGGGAGGGGGGCGGGGTGGTGGTGAACATGCATTCTGAGTAAAAACACAGTCTGCTATGGGTTCTGTGGAGGTGTGTGTGCTTCCTGCAGCGTCAGGTTGTGTGTTTTCTCTCGGACACGTTGAGTCTTTGATGTGGCGTCACAAGTGTGTCCCATGCCAACGAGCCCACCCTGCTGATCAAGGCGAACTCTCTGACTGGATGAGAAAGGTTATCAGACTGTGTATGTGTGTGTGTGTGTGTGTGTGTGTGTGTCTGTTTCTGTCAGGTCTCTTCAGCAAAGAGACATAGGTGCCCTTGACTTTGTGGTACTACTGGCCAAGTGTGTGTGTTTTTGTGTATCCGCGTGTGAGGGGTTTTGTATGGCCCAGTGTGTGTGTCTTTGTGTAGCAGAGTGTATGTGTGTGTGTATGTGTGTGTGTGTATCCGAGCTCTCATGTGGTCCTGACAGATGTGTCCTGTTCTCGGTGTGGTTTCCCCGTCACCCGTCTTCCTCTCTGTTCTTGTTTTTGAGTTTACCTTCACGCCAAACTCAGAGGTAAAACCCTCCATGTTCACTTGTCCCCCCCCACTCACACACACTCACACACACACACACACACACACACACACACAC